GATTTTGAGCACAGACATAATGATAATAATCTTTGGATCGATAAATCTCCCAGCACAGTCTTTCCAACATACTCTTCCTCAGAATGAAAAACTGTCTGTCATTAATTGAAAAAAGGCAAAACATTATTCTCAACGAAACAAAATTAGCTTCTCCAAACCATTCATATTTTATTGAAAAATATTTTCCCAAACGATGTACTTAAGCAATTTCATTTATTTGGCCATGAACTACCGAGAATACAACATCATGAAAGGTAAATGCCCACACTGATTAAAACAACAAGTAGAAAAATAATATGAATTCTAGGAGACTTTCTCAAAATATGTAAGCTGCTGTGTTGCGACGTTTTTAAAAATCCAGTCTCAAAAACCGCTTTGTTCATTTTGTTCTTATTCCACGGAGGGACGATTTTGGTGCAGCTACACTTCGTTCTGTTTATTTTTAACAGCAGTGAAATTGCGTCCTATGGACCTTTGTGTTTAGGTTACTTTTATGTAAGTATTGCCATTGAACTCGTTCCTTTTATATTCAGAAATAGTCTTTGGGAGGAATGTGGATGATCCTGTTTAAAATGCACGTGTGGGACAATCTTTCTGAAGAACTTACACCGTGGGATATAGATGCGGCAGGTCCACAGACTTCCAAAAGTATACAAAGACAACTGAGAACTGTAGAAATTATAGTTATGGTGGCGCTACTTGGTACCGTTTTTGCGGGTTTCGCTTTCGTTGTACCCAGTGAATTAGATTACCAAACATTTTTTGTTGTCAAGCTTATCAGTGACCATTTTCCCAACAAGAAGGATTTTTTGACGTACATATACAAATTATTACTACTAGTAACCGCCTACACGACTGCGATGCCATGTATTGTTTTCGTGTATTGCAGTCAATACTTGAGATTTCAAGCAATAATGCTGAACAAGCGGATTATATGTTTGACCGAACAACTACGGAACACTGATTCAGAAATTTTGCTCCGTGACGAAGATTTTCAAGCAGAGTTTCATCGAAGAATTGTCGTCTTCGTAGAACGCCATCTGGAGATATGCAAGTCAATTTTTACTAAATTTTTGTCCGTCGAAGACTATCGTAAGTTATAACTTTTGTAGAGTTACAAATAAAAAGGTCGAACAAATGAGTTCTATACTTGGCTTTTGTACCATAATGGCATGCGTTCTTGGTATTAGTCTTGTGCTTTTCGTAATGACGTATTCGGTAAGTAACGCATGCGCATCCTTAAAAAATCAATAAAAAGTTGTAGAGTAGTTTATTTGTCCTCGAGAAAGCTTCGTTAATGCGCACTATACTATTGTTATCTACGACAGCTTATATTTTCACTATTACCTTTTTATCAGGACAGGCTTTAGAGGACGAAGTATGTATGTAACACAGTTTTTGTTCTAGTTTGACTTCTTTTTTTCAGATGCAAGAGATAGAAGACAGCGTCTATGCGTTAGAGTGGTACTGTCTTAATGCTGCTAACAAACGAACTTATTTGATGTTTTTGGTTAATATTATGAATTCGTACCGTCGTAAGTTTCTGATTTACAGTGTTAATTTGGAACTAGGGGTGGCTGTAAGTTATGTTAAAAGAAAAATTCTGGATGTAACACGTATTTTTAGATTGGCAGACAAATTTACGGAATCGGTTCTGTTCTTCTAAACATGAGCTATACATAATTTGTCAGACATGTGATTAACCACAGAAATTTTATCATATTATTATTTATTATTCATTTGACGCATGAAACATTGCATTTGCGTGTCTATGTTTATATCAACAATGCTAAAGTTATACTTTTTTTAGCACAATATGCTTATACGCTTAGAATTACACTTACGGTTGCTAGCAATTGCCCCAAATGACGCAATTCCTTGCGCAAACAACAAAATGCGCGGAGAGCCGCAATTCAAATCAACCCGTGGCAAGAGGACTGCACCGAGCGACGTAATTCCACCTGCTTCGCAAAGCTGCAAATTGCGTGGAATACGGCAATTTCGTCCGGACTCGGACATTTACAAGGCCTTTGAATTATACTTATGTATGTAATAATGTAGATATCAATAACCCTCATGTATAATCCCTATACAAGACCGGATTGTATGTTCCACTTTTTACGAAAATATGAATATTATTTTACATACCTATATCCTATATGAGTAAAATTTGTGTAAAATATTCCCAACATCTAAAATATGTTTAAAAAATATCGTCAGTGTGTCCAAAAATGTTTTGGAGTAACAAGGAAAAAAACATATATTAAGAAAATTTAAAGAAATTCCATGATTCATTGTTTATTAAAGCAATCGAAGTTTACTCTGGCCGACGTAAGGATAGTTTGGGATTCCTTTTCATAAATCCATAGAACCATTTTTTACCAGCCATTTTTTTATGGTTAAAACAGTAGGGAACTTTATTTTTATCCGCCCATTCGAAAGCGAACTTCATGACATCTGCAATGGTTAAACCGTAGAGGTTCTGTTTAAATTGTAGAAGATAAATTGCTAATTCTTCTTCTTGATTTTTGATAAATGTAGTAGATCGAACCATGACTTTCTTGATATCGTTGGCTACTTTATTTTCGTTATTTAAGTGTGCCTTTAAAGTCGCTTTCAGCACTGCAAATCTTCTTGGGTACTCATTAAGCCCAACACCCCCAGACCGATAGGCTTCGACAACCATTTCAAGATTCTGCTGATTCCAAGGTACTTTCATCTTTTGGACATTCTGGAAATGACCAAGATTTCTAGTTACTTAATTATTTATTGTTTTTTTGAATTTTATTAAAAATTTTGCATCACATCTTTAAAAATCAAGTCTCTATTTTTTACGGAAATTTTGGAACGCGGTTTTTACCACTGTTTTCAGTTTACAAACCATATAAATTCTAGGGAAAACATTGTCGACCGTTTTCGTCAGTGAAAAGAAGAAGAAACAGGTAGTTTTCTAAGCTGAAAGCATTGGTGAAAACGGCATCCCGAAATTTTCATAAATAATTAAAGTATTGGCTTAAATTTCACTGAAATGTAGAAAAAATGATAATCAATTATTGCGTTTTATCCTATAAATCATGGACAAGTTATATTTAAAATTTCATAACAATAAATCTGTTAATACTGGAAATATTATATTCTGAGTATGATTGAACACACCACAAGAACCAAACTCGCCTTAAATTGAACCGGTCCAATTTGAGATTCTTAACCAGGTTCAAATTAGCTAAAATGACTTGGGTCCAAATTACATAAGTCTCTCCGATATTCACCAGTTATTGGAGTTTTATCTCCTTTCTTTTCGTATTATAGAACACGTACACGACTCGTGCCGGCGTCGGTGTCGGTGTGCTCGAGTTTGAACTCAGTCTGAACATAAGCATACATCGTGTTATAAAAAAAGATAGAGAAATAAACTATTAATGGATTTGTATCTGTTGGGCAAATACATATTATTATTAATAAAATGTGTTCGTTTGACTGTTCCAACACTTCCAACGACTAAATCAAGTACAACAATTGATGCCGTTTTCACACCCTTTATTACTCATTTAAGAAATGATATTTATATCACTCATTTTAGTCGCCAGAGGCCACTAATAACTGTATTAAATGATAGGTATAAAGATACCGACGGCGATAACGCTGTGGTTGAACGGTAATTTGTATTTTAAATCGAATAAGTTATAAATACTGCTCTAGCACTTGTAAATATTTACTTGTTACTTGAGTTGGTAAATTCCACATTTTACTTTAATTTTTTTATACAATTTTATTATAATAATTAATTATGATGTTTCTATATTACAAATAAATAAAAACAGTATATTTTATAGTAAACAACGACTGACAATACATGGATATTTACTTTAGTTAACCCAATCATCATCATTAATCATCATTTTGTCAAAAAATACAAATGCAACATATTTTTGGTTTTTATTATTTTTTAAGAGAAAATTAGTGACTTCGCCGCGTATACGTCTTTAATTTATATAAATCGAAACGCAGATTTAAAACTCCAACCGTGCGTCCCTGGGTCGACGCACTCTTTTTTTGTATACATTAAAAAAAATTATTTATTTATAAGTTAAGATATTTAATGAATTCCTTTCTTATCTTAAGTATGTAACTGGAGTTTTCCGTTAATAGATTATTATTAATATTAAGTTGTTGATTATAGCAAGTCGCATTAGCAGATTACCTCCTTGACGGAAAACCCCACATCGCATACCAAAAAAAAACACATGTTCAGTATGATAAAACCTGTAAGAGAATAATTAGATCCCGTTTCTCGAGTCCAAGAGGGTATCAAATTAATCGGAACATTCCAAGATACTTTATCTCAAAATGGACCGACGTTTAGATCAGTTTAAATATCATAAATGAACTATTAGCAATCTCGAGTGAGAAATTAAAAAGTACGTTATAATGTAAAACTGAATCTTCCAGAAACCTTAGTTATAACTTGATAAACAAAAGAATGAAGCCTGAATTAATAAATTTCCTAACACGTTGGCTATATGAATAATTTCATGTCTGTTAATTAGTTAGTATTAGAGCCAGGAACAGCTAAAAATCTTAACATGAACTGTGAATTTGCAAATAATAATGAACAAAATTGATACCACGTGTTGACATCAGCGAAACTTCACTACATTTCAGATCAGAAAACCATTACCCTACCATACTACTATTTTATATAACAAGAATATTTTTAAATTTAATAAAACAATTCTAAATTGATTGATATATTGTATCTTTTATAAAACATGTCAAGGATACAATTTTTTAATCAGAGGCCTCTTGATTTTGCTATCTAAAGATATTATCGATTAAAATTTTAATCGCTGAATTGATTTCTTGTTTATTTTTATTGCGATTTAATTTACTTCTGCCCCGACGATTGACGTTGAAAATCTTTCGATAATAATTCGTTATCTTATCAAAAACAAGCTGTTACAGCAATACTTGTAAAACTTTATCTTAAAGTACGTATAAATTAGATTTTCATGCGTAACTTTAAAATACTTGCAGTTTTATTCTTGAAAAAGTGTAAGTTACTGTATTTATACAATAGCAAAAACGTTTGATTTAACTTTCAGGTGCAAAAAAGAACATACTTGTATAAGATTTTAATTGATGTAAGCTAAAGTAAATAACGTTATGGCAACAAAATCAGACAATGACGAAAAACGGAAAAAAGTAAGTTTTTATTAGATTTTATGTTTGAAATAAAAATCTTTTTCACGTTTTCCTACTACAAGAAGTTTACATAAAATGAATACGATATTCTGTATGTATTTTATAGTTGGTATCTTTACCTAATGCAAATACTAACCTACAGTGATATTTACATTCTGAAGCTTTGAAGTTCTTTCGTCGTATTTTAGTTTATTTTTCATGTTTTCTGGATGTTTTGTATCCCTTAAACTATGAAAAAGTAGGTCTCCGTTTCTGTTTGTCGTCTGCAGCCTCTCATTTGCTAGTGATTGCTATGAAATTTCAGATGTATTTTAAAAGAATTTCGTGTAGATGGTAAAATGCTAACCAAATTTTGTCTGTTCGTCCCTATTAAAAATTTTTGACGACGTCATTTTAAACATTTTTCACTTTTACGTCCCTCTAGATACTTAATCATATTTACGAATTTTATTAAATAACTGATTGTTCAAAGTTGTACTTCGAGATGCAATGTTGTTGAATATTTTTAATTTTCCAAAAATTCCGAGAACACGATATGTAGGCGTTATTATAAAATATTTAAATTTGCTAAATCAACGTTAACAATTTACCACAGTAAACTGAACTTGTTTGACTGTGCTTCAGGGACACGGCAAGTTCTTTCTACGTTGGTTTAGAACAACTTTTTTTTTCAAAAATTTGCAGTTTGCATTTACTAACACTAATGTTGAACAAATTTTTCAGCTTTTTAAACCGGAAACGTATAAAAAAAGATCAGGGACCAATGATTCTGGAAAGGAATTCGAATACATGATGTGTGCGTTATATGCCTTAAAACTAACTCTAAACAAAAACGTCAGTGATTTTAAAATGACAGCAAACAACGACGAATACGGGGCTTTTGACGACATATCTTTAAAGATAACATTCACAAATGGAGAATCAAAACTCTTCCTCCTACAACTAAAACATAAAGAAAGTAAGGATCGAAATATAAACTCGACAAATCTTGCATCTCTAAATCAAGATTTTAGTTTAATAAAATATATAAGTTCGTTTGAAAAACTTAACGTTCAGAGTACAACTTGCATCTTGTACACAAACTGTGGAAGTGGAACTAATAAAAAAAGCATCAAGGGCCAAAATTTTAAAATTCCTTTAAAACCACAAGCTCCACCGAAACAAAACTTTCAACAAGATGTGAAGATCGACTACGAACCAGATTTTATTAATCTTCTAGTCAAAAGAAGTGCTGACACGGATATATCAATAAATATTCAAAAGAAAAAAAGGAGAGTATCATCTGTTCAGAAAGACGACAAATACCATGAGTCAAACTTTATGCGTATTGTAGTAGATAAAAATAAGCTACCTGATGATGGAAACCTAACCATAAATATCACGACAACGAAAAATAAAAATGCGAAAGAACGAGTTTCTGCTAATGTAGGGGTAGAAGAAGAAGCATCTTCAGACAACGACGTTATAGTTTGCGTTAAAAAGCAGGCAAAAAAATCAACTGCACAAACAAAAACAGAGACAGATGAAAAACAAGACAGATATTTAGATGTTACTGTGAGGGAAGGCAAATTATCAGACCCAGAAAACGAAATAATAAATACCAATCAAGACAAAGAAGGAAATAGTTCCAGTGTTTTTCAATTTGAAATTTTGGGAGATAATGGCATATTAAAAAAACTAGAAGATTTTTCAAAAAACTTTTATCTTTTAGTTAATCAACAGAACGTCGATACAGTTAAAGGAACCCTTAAAGAAATGTTACTCAAGGAATTAAATCAAGATATTTATAATTCTTTCGTGTGTTTTATAAACAACTGGTGGTCTCGAAGATTTGTTCTGACGAAACATACCGTCATTTGCAAATTAGTTGAACTATCGCTTTCGCCTTGGTGTCAAAAAATTTCTTCAAGTAAAATAAACCAGAAAGGTAATCTTCTTACAAAAGTAATAATGGAATTCGAAATGACTATCGTCAAAAACGTCCAGAACGATATTGTACAGGACATATGGGACACTTCATGTGAAGATAGAGAAGATTTTAACAGAGCAAAACAGTTCCTTATGGGTGGGTTAGAACTAACTCCTGAACAAGAAGATAAAGTTTGGTGGTATTTGAATAAAGTTCCTTTAATTGTTGCAATGCATGACCACAACAAGGATCAAATAAAACGAGCGATAACTCTATTCGAACTAGATACGTATGGCACGGAAAAGAAGAAAATTGTTTTTTTAGGAAATGTAAAAAAGGACGATTTTCCACAGTGGAATGTTTTCGATAATCTGTGTGATATCAAAAACGAGAACGTATATCAGCAAATTATTTCTACTTTCTACGTGTCTCTGCAAGGGAGACAAGAAATTAATCTTGAGAAACTAGAAATTAAGGACGTTGAAGTGAACGAATTGTTAGAGATGACACAGAAGCAGTTTTTGTCGGTGGACGAGCAGGACAGGAAACTGCCGGTTTCATATATCTCACGAACTTTAACCTCAGTTTTCCTGGACACGAATAAAATGATAGAATATCTAGCTTCTACAGAAGATTGTATAATAATTATTAATTGCGACGAACGTCTGCAAACATCTTTTGACATCAAAAACACATCTGTGATAGAATTTTCTCAATTTTTTGAAAATTATGATGTGTCTTCGACCGAGAATACAGTTTTACTGTGTACTAACCGCAAATGTTCGTATTCTGATTTTGATGATGTTTACAAAAAAGTTACAAATTGTGAAAAGTCATTTCACATATATTTACTCCAAACTGTCGACAACGGTTTTTGTACAATCCTTAACAAACGAGGACATAAACTACCTATAGATGATCTAAAAATAGAATACAGCGTTACAGAAAACGTTTTCTTTAGGTATTTTAATAATCACCTGAACGTTTTTTGTGCCCCACCAGGAATGGGAAAATCGACTTTGTTGGTTTATCTGAGTAGATGTTGCCCGTCCGATTTCTGGTGTTTACTTGTTAGACTAATCGATTTTAATCCGTTTTTGAGAAGCAAACCCGATAATAAAGAAATGTTACGCTGTTTCATGCACGGAAAGTCTTCGACAAATGAAACATTTGATTCACACTTAAAGAACGCGTTTTTAAAAACGAAAAAAATCTACGTTCTGCTAGACGGTTTGGATGAAGTAGACAGTGCACAGTTTGATCTGGTGGTGAATTTTTCCAAGTGGATCTTAACTCAAGGTGGCTACATATGGATTTCATGCAGAGAAAATTTACGTGATAAAGTTACGTCGTCATTACACGCAGTAACTGTTGATATAAATGAACTTACTTTCGAAGAACAACAACAATATGTCAAGAATAGACTGGACAAAACTTTTGAAGACGAGGAATTGCAAAGGATTATTAACGTAGTGTTCGCGAGTTCCAAAATCATGATCAAAAACCAACAACTACTAGCAATCCCCTTGCAACTGTATATTATCACCGAAATTCTTTGCACCGACGCCCGAGTTTATGAAAGTATAAATGAGAAAAACTTCTTCGTTCTAACAAAACTCTACAAAATATTTTTCGAGGGCAAGAAAAGTTTCTTACACGAGAAAATCGGTATAGCCCATCAAGATGAACACATCGGTTACAGATTCGAACATCACCTGAAACTGTACGAGATTCCTGCTTTGAGAACTGTCTTAGACGAAAATGACTACCAGAAGTTGGACATTAATGACAACGAAACTCAAAGATACTTAGAAGATTTAAAACGAGTAGGAGAAAAATTTGGAATTATCAATCACGTTTCCGAAGACAACAGAGTCATTTTTAACCATCAAACCTACGCCGAATATTTTGCTTGCGCGTGGTTCCTGCAAAATCTGAATAAGTTACGTTTGCTCCAAGACGTTATATTTTTAGACAAATATGCCAACTTACGAATGATGTTTGATATTTTAATGGCGGAGGAGTGTCCTTTGCATCTGGCTGTGATTTACGGAAATGTTAATCAAGTTCAAGAATACGTTAAAGACAGCGAATTAGAAGATGCAGCGGGCCGGAAAGCTTTACATCTAGTGTGCACTTATGGCGCCAAATACCATCAAATCGACAGAAAACTCGACAATTTTACTTTTGACGATTATCGCCTGCATCGAGAATCTTCCACTTACATGCGCATATTAGAAATTCTCTTGAGATATTGTCAAAATATTTCCAAAAGTGATGGGTTATTCAATTTTACGTGTTTTGATTATTCAAGCGCATCTGGATGTTTATATCCATTTGAAACTTTGATCTACAATGGGCTCTTAACTTTTCAACAGTTGGAAGAGAGTCTCTACAGAAATTTTGATCCTGTGACTGTAGTTTTCTATGCTGCTCAAATGGGTTATCGTAACTTGCTTTACGAACTTACCTTACAAAATCCAGATTTGGTAAAAAGTGATAAATTTGCCCATATCTCTCTTCTCCGTGTTGCAGTAATTGGTTGCAAGAACGATGTATGTACCGTGGAAAGAAAGGGTAATGTGGAAGTTGTTGACATTTTGTTGCAAAAATCCGAAAACGTAAATGCTGAAGATACATACAAACGCAGTATATTGGATTATGCTTGTCAGTATGGATGTTATGACATGTTGAGCAAATTATTGGAATATGGTGCTAAGTGTACCGGTGGAAACGATACCGTTCATGTGATGGCAAAATATGGTACTTTAAATGAAGAAACAGTGAAGCTACATAGTGACCTAAATGCTGCTAACAGAGAAGGAACAACAGCTTTGCAGTTAGCATGTGAAAATGGTCACACTGAAGTTGTTAAGACGCTTCTTCAAAAACAGAGCAGTGCAAATACAACAAATAAGGAAGAAATGAATGCGCTACATTTTGCCACAAAATCGAAGAAAGACAACACTGAAGTCATTAAATTATTGTTGACGCATAAGGTTGACATAAACGCTAAAAACATGGACGGAAGTACTCCTTTGCATCTAGTTTGTAGTCGTGGGCATCTCCAAGCAGCAAAAATCCTAATTCAAAATAGTGCCGACATTAATGCAGTTGATAAGAAGAGTAAGAATGCTCTGCACTACGCTGCAGTATCAAAAGACGATAATTCTGCTATCATAGAACTCTTAGTTCATATGGGTTTGGATTCTAGTAATAAGGACGACAATGGAATGACTCCGCTGCACATAGCTTGTTGCCAGTGGCAGGCCAGAAATGTCCAGGTGTTACTGAAATCTAGCAATGTCAATAGTGCTGACAATAACGGTATGACCGCACTACATCACGCCGTCAAAACTTGGAATAATAACATAGAAGTAATAGCTTTATTAACTTCTAATGACAATATTAACGTCAATGCTCAAGATCATCTAGGGAAAACACCACTACATCTTGCTTGTGAAGAAAATCAGGTAGACAACGTACGAATATTGTTAGACAAAGATGCCAACGTAAACATTCTAAGTAAGGAAAATATGAATGCTTTACATTATGCCTCCAACTCGTGGAAAGAAAAGGTAGAAATTGTGAATTTGCTAATAGATCGACATATTGATGTTAATGCAAAAACTATAAGTGGAACAACTGCTTTGTTTCTTGCATATGACAGAGGTAATATTAACATTGTTCGAGTTCTATTGAAGAAATGTCCAAATATTGACTTGATTGATCAAAGGAAGATGAACATTTTACATCACGCTACTAAATCAACAATCGATGATGATGAAATATTATGTTTGTGTAAAGAAAAGGGAATTGACGTGAACGCCCAAACTGAGAAAGGAAAAACTGCATTACATTTTGCCTGTAAGCAGGGAAAGATTGAAACAATTAAAACTCTCAAAACTCTTGGAGCTGATGTGAACATGAGAGACAACGAAGGACGGAATGCATTACACCACGCCATATTGTCCACATATGAAAATCCAACCTTGATCACATTGTTGAAAAGTTATGATATTGATCTAGACGCCAGAAACACTAAAGGTGTGACACCTTTACACCTAGCATGTGCTGAAAATAAAGTAGAAATGGCAAAAACATTACTTGATTTAGGAGCTGATGCTAATACTGTAGATAACCTGAAACAAAATTCTCTGCATTATGCAGCCGCAGCAAAACAAAGTACAGACACAATGAATTTACTGCTTGATAGTGGTGCAAACGCAAATGCGCAAGATGCGAAAGGAACGACTCCACTGAGTATTGTGTGTAAAAAAGGTCAACTTCCAAATGTTGAGATCTTACTTCTGCGTAAAGTTGATGTTAATCTTATCGACAGGGAAGGCTTCAGCGCACTACATCAAGCAACCCAATTTTGGAAAGATAATACAGAAATTATCAGTTTGTTGTTAGATAATGGTATAAATGTCAATGCCACAAACAACAAAGGAAGAAATGCTTTACAACTTTCGTGTAAAGAAAACCATATTTGTGATGTTAAGACGTTACTACAAAGAGGTGCAAATCTACATTCCGTCGACAAACAGGGAATGTCTGCTTTGCACTATGCGGCTAGTTCTGAAGAAGACAGTGTGGAAATAATCAACTTGTTAGTAACTAATGGTCTGTCAACAAATCAGAGAAACATGTATGGCGAGACTCCATTACATCTTGCGTGTAAAAGTGGAAACGTGAAGAATCTGAAAGAACTGTGCAAGAACGGGAGAAATCTTAACGAAATCACTTCTTCAGGAAAAACCGTCTTACATTATGCAGCAGAATCAAAAAATGTGGAAATGTTAAAATACGTTCTATCCTTTGAATCTGATATTAATGCAAGTGATAATCTGGATGTCAGTGTATTACATGTGGCATGCCAACATGGAAGTTATGATTGTGTCAAACTGCTAATTGATCACAACGCTGACGTTCACGCCGTTACTAATACAAAGAAAACCGTCTTGCATTATGCGGTGTTATCAAAAGAAACTGCAGAGATTGGCGAGATAATAAATTCTTTACTTAATGCAGGTGTGGATGTAGAAACTAAAGATTTGAAACACAGAAATGCAATTGTGTATGCAGTGCAGAAGAAACGTTATCAAGTGATAAAAATTTTCATTCAACTCAATAAGTTTTCACTCGTTTTTGAGCACGATACTGAAGATTTTCTGTACTATACTATCTACAGTGGATGCTTGTATGGTTTAGATTTATTTAACACACATGATGGAATTCTTGAGACAATTAATACCAACAACAAAGAATTTCCACTAGATTTCTTAGTTACGGATGGACATCTGAAAATGGATACACTGATTAAGATGACAAAGTTCGTCAATAAAGTGATTGAATTTTCCAGTTATTCTGTGGACTATGATCAGAAATATTCGCCTGGAGGAATCGCGGCTTATTTGAGACACTTGTTATCGCAAAGCTACCACCTTGAGACCGTAAGTTATTTTAGCTAAGTTGTAGATTTTTAAAATTGTAATTCAATGTTTTCAGATTTTCAGTGAAATAGATAGTAGTAGTTCGTGGAACAAGAGATTTTCTAAGCTTCAAAAATTTCTCGGAACATATAAGCAACAATAGATTATGTTATTTGAAAATACTTATATTTGCCTAAATACTGTTTCCAATATTAAACGCTTGTGTTTAGTAAAAATTTCATTTGTATTCACTTCAATAGATTTCTGTTTTAGTCTATCTTAGTAAAACCCAGTAACTGTAAAAATTGTACTCCTAGGTTTCTCTGGTATTACTCGAACTCAACTGAATAATGAAACCATAGGTTGCTTATCGAGTTGAGCCTATTGCGACGTGTTATGTATGACCTCTAGAGTAGAAAAAATAGATCTCCTGTTTTCGTCTGTATGTCTGTCTGCTGTCTGTTCAAATTTTTATTTAACAGATTATTATCTCCGAAACAACCAGACCGATTCTTGTCAAATTTTAGAGGTATATTATGAATATCGTGTAGATGGTAAAACGCTAACCAAAATTTGTTCAATTACCCCCACTAACGATGGGATGACGTCATTTTCAAAATTAACTATAGTAAATGTTATTTAAATTTTATAAAATAACGTACCCCTGCATTTATGGTTTATGAATTCAATATTTTACAATTATTTTAAATTTTAAATTGCAAAACTGAATACTTTAAAATCTTGCAAACGTTTCAAGGTTATAAATTTTGCATCGCGTATCTTTAAGAACCAATATTTCGATTATTTATGAAAATTTTCAAAAGTGGGTTTCACTAGTTTTCAGCTTACAGAACTCTAGGAATTAGGAACGAAATATTGTCGACTGTTTTAAAAGCAATTTTTTCAACACAATGACAATCAATGCAGCTACATAAACCATAAGTACAAGAGTACGTTGTTTTATAAAATTTAAATCGAGTTTACTGAAAAAAATTTTGATGACGATCAAAATGACAAATTTTGTTTAAATTTAACAATAATCGGCTTAGTAGTTTTGGATTTTATTTATGTAAAAAAATCGACAAACAGACAGACGTAAGCGGGAGATCTTAAAAAAACCCTATTGTAATACTTCCCTAGCTTACAAAACAAAATAAAAATTAGCTAAATCAGTTACTTTATAAGTTGTCGAAAATGTTGTGCGACAATTTGGTCATCGTCAACTTAGAAACGAAGTATGTTTTGAACATTTGTTGTTACCTAAATTATAATCTGATATTACTAGTTATTGTTTAAATTTTTATTAGATTTTTCTTTTATCGCAAATTTTAATTTTGAATCGGGACATTACTTGCAGTATTTTTACTTCCCGAGCGTAAGCAAAGAATTATTGTAATCGAGCCCATTGGGCGACTGGCTACTTTTATATTTTCTCGATGTGTCATGACCCCTACACTACAGTGCGAAAAAATAGGTCTTCCGTTTCCGTATGTCTGTGATGACTTTTGTTAGAGAAATAATCTAAGCAGCTACCAGACCAATTGTCGTAAAATTTGAGACGCGATGACGTCATCTGAAACTTATGGATAGTAAATGGGTTTTAAATTGTACAAAATAACATGCTTCTGAACGTGTAGTTTATGAAGCCGTGTTGAGTTTTCACCCGGGACATCCATTTTGCAATTTAATGTGCAACATTTTCAACTATTTTCCCTAGCCCTTCAACTTTTGACGTAGTAACTAAACTCAAAGGGATAGCGCATTGTTGAACACAAAACTGGATTTTACACTTTCTATTTACCGATAGCTTTAGAAATGTATATGGCAAACATATATGACTTGGAACTCCACCAAAAGTCTGAAGATTTGTCCAAAGATCTCACATTTCTGTTTCAAGTTCAGGTAAGTTAAATAATAATAATGATATAATAGACAATTTACGAAAGTATGTTACGTGAATTGTTGGCAAGAGGTCCAGCATAAACATAAAGTTTTAAAATCCATATCCACGACATAATAATTATAATATTTTTAATAATTTTCAAGTGTCGGTCTAGCTGAAAATAACTATTTCTGCAAATTATTAAATATGATGCACAATTGGAAAGCGAGAAGCGAGTAAGCCAAGGATGCACCGGCCGCATTTCAGACGGGTAGATAGGATGAAAAAATTTCGACCGCCCACCTTTATTTATAAACAACGACGTCATAGGAAAACGCATCTGTGCATGATGTTCGACGTCCCGTATGCTGTTGAATGCGCTAAAGTCATCAAAAAAGGTTACGAGTGCAAAAAATTTATTAACAGCACATTATCAACGGGAATACATTACATCAGAAGAATGTCACGTGTTTGATTTGAATGAGTTTATCTTCCCAAAACAGATAAACTAAAATTATTCATACGCTTTCATTGAAGAAAATATTCTGAATGTTATTATTATAATTCTTACTTTATCATTATTTTATTGTTATAAAGACGACCGTATTTTCACATTTTCCAGAAAATAGAGTAGCTCGTTCTTAATTTGATCAATAATAAATTGAGTCAGTCATTAATTTTTTTCACACGCCCCTATAAGCAAATCTAAAAATTATTTATGCAGTGATAAATCACAATTATAGGATCATCATACTTTGAACAATACACATTTAAGATAGCATTTTTTCGTAAAAATTTTGGGGTGGCGTGATCAATTTTTTAGGGGGGGATGAGCAAATAAATATATTTTGATCAAAAATTATCATGCCTATGATAACTTTAAAACATCTCCAAGATTTCAAAGCATTTGGTTCTGTAGTTCCTGATTAAATCAATAAAATACATTTACGTATTCATTAATTTTTTTGGGTCACCTTGTATATGCAAATCCAAAAAATATGAATGGAATGATAAATCACAAGTATTGTCTCATCATACTTTGCACATTTAAGATAGCATTTATTCAGCAAAATTTTGGGGTGACGTCACGGAGAAAAATAGAAAAAAAAAGAAAAAACCGAAAGACCACGATCAGCATGTCTTACGCTAAGGGTAAACTGCTAGTCTATCGTGCATTGTGTTTTTGTCACAATTTGGACTGCTATACAAAAAAATCAAACCGGATTCGTACACCTAAGAGTATATTGTTTTATAACGGTTACATCAAATAAACATAGAATTCTTTGAAATGACGTTAGTGGGGATGATTAGCAAAATTTTGGTTAGCATTTAACCATCTACATGACATTTCCAATATACATACAAAATTTGATAACAACCGGTCCAGCAGTTTCGGAGATTACGTGTCTAATAAAAATGGATACAGACAGACAGACAGACAGACAGACGGAAACGGAAAACTACTTTTTTTGTAATGCAGGGGTCATGAAACGTCGAGAAAACACAAAATTGGCTATTCGTCCGATGGACCCTATTAGTATACTTCCGTAGCTTACGCTCGTGAAGTAAAAATTTCAGATATTGTACTTTTGTTATTAACTGCATCCCTAACTACGAGTATTCAAATAAGTATTACAAAACATGAGCTGCACTAAGTACTTAATCTTATTTCGTTTTGGTCGGAATAGAGGTGTGCGTCCGATACCGTCGCTTGTTTTGTATTTTTAACAGAAAAGCAATCAACTTAATTCAGAAGCATAAATTCACAAAAACAACCATTAGTACATACACAGTACATACTTTACATATCAACTATGCGACAAACGTCGTTGGGTGAGCGATTAGGTGATTACGACGCAAATGTGTTTTTACTTCCCGAACGTAATCTAAGGAAGTATAGTAATCGAGTCCATCGGCCGAATTGCAACTTTCATATTTTTGTATTACTACAGAAGTGGCTAACTTAAAATACCTTGACACCAAAATTTAAAAAATTGTTTTAGGCTATTTAAGCAGAGGTTTCCTCGTCTCTGACGCATAATCATACAAATCATACAATAATACAAATGAAGTGGAAAAGACAGATTGTTCTATGATATAAACTTGAAGTGTTTAGCAAAAAAAAATTAAGTAAAGAACTTGCTGCTGCAGCACAAGCTTTTCCACAAATTAACAAGCGAAGGCTAAAATCAGAGTTAGAAGTAACATCTGGTATTATGGAAATTCCGGGAACTTATGACACTACGTGTAATTTCCTGTAATCTTTTAAAATGAATTGTTGTTTAGTGGATACCCGTACAATGTTGACAGAATTGTAGGAAATTTTGATCTTGAGGAACTGTAGAAATACAAAATTATTTCAATAAACTTGGGCGTTTTTGCCCATTAGTAACCATTTTAATTGTTGTTGTAATGTTAAAAAATTTGAAAATGTAAACGTTATAATGGACACAGTTATGGCTGACCTAATTATTCTTTTTCGTACATGTACAAGAATAATTAACATAAATAGATATGCTTTAAACTGCTTTAAAATGTATTAAGTAGTTAGTCATATCGCTTGTCGCAATGCAAACAAGTGCAATTTTTAAGCGAAAAAGTCCACAAATTTGGAAAATATGGACAAGACAGAAAGCTACAATATTAAAAATTTCTACAACGCACGGATTAAATACAAGTTCAAAGAGGTACACACTTTATTAACTCAAAAACTACAGTAAATATTGATTTTAACCAGTAATCGCTATGCTAACTAGCAATTTTTTTATATATTTTTATTTTAAGATGAAATGTTACAAAATTGTTTGAAATGTAACGTCATCTTTTAAAATGTTTGGTTTATGTTTTTGTGTTTCAGTGTTACAGTGTTAGTAAAAACTCTTGAAGACGCCTCAAATAATTGTGTAACGTTTGCATTTTTTACATTATTCATCTAAATGATCACTTTAGTTAAAAATAACAAAAAATAATTTTCAAAATTGGACTAGGGAAATAAGGTTTTTTAAAAACGAGTGTGTAAGATAACTTTAGAAAGTCAGTTTAAGCAACATTTTCTACTGTTTTCCCTAGCGCTTCAATTTTTAAAGTAGTAACTAAACTCAAGGGGATACTGGTAAAACGTTTGCGATTTGAAATTATTGCCATTTTAGTGTATAGATTATGTACTTTTAGAATTTCATCTAAACCAAGAAATGAAGGGAACAATAATTTTTTAGTTAGTGCGGAAAAATATAAAGAATTTTTGAATTTGTTTCCTATGGTAGTGAGTGACTTAACGAATAAGATTGCAGACCCAAATCTTGTTGAAGCAAATGTACACGACGAACTCCTGCGTTATCTTGCCCCTTTTGGTAAAAAATTGAGAGCTTCCATTGTGTTCTCAACTTATGAACAGC